GCCAGTATTGAAGGAGGAAATCAAGCAGTTGGCGGTAATGCACCTAAAGTTGTTTGCCAACCGCCATAAAACACAAGAAGAAGAAGACGAAGGAGGGAATCAAGCAAATTAAAATGGCGGCGCCCGTCATATGCAGAAAGTTATGATTGATTATTATTGCTGTACTTCGGTGTTTGCGGAGGGTCAGGTGAAGACGGCAACCATTATTAAAATGTTGCGTGGAGAAGATTTCGATTGTTGTTTATAGTTGTTCTTCTTCTGTTTTGTGTTGGTTGGCAAGCAATCTCCGGAGGGGCATCACCTACTGGAATGGAGTGTGAATCGCGATATGCAGCCAGGCGGAGATGAGGCGTTCTGCTCATGCGCTCTTGTTATCAGAGAACCGACCTAGGGAAAAACGGAGCCGAGCCCACCTCTGGAACTGGTCTGCAGTTAGCGCGGTCCGGTTGTGTCTAGCTCGGTTCGGTTCAGTTTGCTTTCCATTTACACACGATAAGATATCTCAGTTATTGAGCTCGGACCGGTCTCGGCACGGTTTTTCAAGGGTAGTGTAAATGGGGTATAAGAATAATTTTCTAATTATTACATCATGCCATCCGGGTTCTACAGTCGTGGTTTCCCTGCTTTAACACGCCTGATTTAGATGATCAAGTTCAGCAGAATCCTGTAAACCAGCCGCCATTAAAATCCATTGATCCATCTAAAACTGTGGAGTTTGTAATTGCCCCTCTTATATTTCTGAGCATTGCAGGGTTAGACGTTTACTCCTGGGAAAATTTAAGCTTCAACAATTTTAAGGGTGTGTGGAACAATGAAGGAATATAATATGAAACTTTTCAGGCCTTCTCATATTGATGTGCAGCAACAGCCGCCACTTTTAGGGGTCATCTAAAGTTTCCTATCTGCCATCTTTTATTCAGGCTCGTCTGGAGTATCTGCGAGATCAGTTTCAGATCAGAGAGAACGACTTCCTGACGTTTGACGCCATGCGGCATGCAGCTCAGTGCGTGGGCAGAGCCATCAGAGGCAAGACGGACTACGGCCTCATGATCTTCGCAGACAAGGTGAGCGTTGGAACCTGTGAAAGAGCAAAGATAAAAGGCTTTCGGAGAAAAATCCCTGCATGTTTTTTTACCAACTTCCTCCCTGCAGCGATACGCACGAGCAGACAAACGTGGGAAGCTTCCTCGGTGGATTCAGGAGCACATCAACGATGGGAGCCTGAACCTCACGGTGGACGAGGCCGTCCAGCTCTCCAAGCACTTCCTCCGTCAGATGGCTCAGCCTTTCAGACAGGTAACGCAGTATAAAATCTCTAAACTAAGGAAATGTTTTCAACTATTTCAGCTGCAACATGATAATTACTTTATTATGCAAATGTAAATATAACAATAGTGTAGTTACAGCTTTGAAAACCTCTCTGCTTCCAGGAGGACCAGCTGGGTCTCTCTCTGTTGACTCTGGAGCAGCTGGAATCAGAGGAAATGTTGCAGAAAATCTCCCAGATGGCTCATCAGACCTGAAGCTCTTTTCACCGCCAGTTTACAGTTGAACAAAAGGAGGACCTTATTTAATCAGATTTCTCTTCTCACACCAGTTCTTGTCTTTATCAGTCTTTAAATTTTCTTCTATATGTAACAGAATAGGGTGAAAAAACAGCTGATGTTTCTAAACCTGGTAAAAACATTTGCAGTGACCAACATGCATGGAGCTCGTTTTCTTTGCTGCTTGATGCCTTCAGATAGCAGCTGCTGTTTAAAAGTATTAAATGGCAAGAAAATATTTTTTTTAATACTTGATTGGCTCAGATATATTTCTATATTAAAAAACAGCAGGTTTTGCTGTTTGTCAACAAAACTGGATCCAGAGACCTGATTCAAGATCGTCCCATGGACCAGAACCAACAATTTGTGTCATCAGTTTTGTTGTTTTTTCAGAAATAATACAAACTGAGTGATGTTTATAAATCAGCCACATAATGTGTCTGTCATACAGACTGAAACGACTGCAGGTTTTTTGTTCTGACTGTAAATAGACACTTTCTACACATTTCTTTTTTTTCTATAAATGGTTCTACCAAACCGTTTGTTTTTATTTACTTCATGTCATAGTAATGCAAATATAAACTGCTACTTTAAAAACCTTTAAAGTATTGTGGAGGATTTTGGCAATTTTTTTGAAAAGAGCTTTTTTTTTTAAAAAGTGCACATGCACAGGCCTGTACCTGCTGCCAAAAGGGAACGCCTATTAACGTGTGAGAGAGCGTGCATGAGCACATTTCTCTTCGTGCACGCTCTGATTAAAAGTTGCCGTTTGCGTCGCTCACACAAGCTGACTTTCCAAAAGAAGATTTGCAATTTTTCCACTTTGTCAGACTCGCCCTTGGTAAGTGGAAATGGGGACAAGCACGTAGGAAGGCTTTATAATGATTGAAAATTAGGAGGATCAGTTATTTTGATGATCCACACAGAAAAAGAACATCCTCCACTAAACATTTAAAGGTGCAAAATATGTTTCAGGAACACAAAAACAGATGTGGTGCTTTCAAGATGTTTTAGAGCTACTATGGTCGAATTAGACACACAAGGAGATTTAGATTAGATCAAGAATAAAAAAAAAAAAAAAAACAATGCTTTCACTTTTGAAATAGTTGTAAAAGATGTTAAGCATCAAGGTTTAGATTTGTTTGAAAAACCATGAAGTCTGCAGGCTGTTTACTGCACAGCTGCCAAAAAGTCTCCTTTATTCTCCAGATGTGGTTGCTTTACAGTGTGAGCAGGGACAATCCAGATCCAACCCAAGTCGCTGTCAAACAGTTTGGATCTGGATCCAGTCAGGTAGATGTGAACTGATCACAGACCTAAATCACACCTGTTCCCAACAGCCAGTGAGAAATGGAGGCTGAGATACAGTAACAGCTGGAAGCTAACTTGTTCAACTTCCAACAGTCATATTATGCATTTTATTAATGTATAAAAAGTTAGAGCATAATGCAGACTATCACTTCTTCACAATCATAGTGGTGAACACATGCTGTATTTAGGAATACAGATTTATAATGAAGAATCTTATAAAAATAAACCAAACTATTTACATATTGAACATTAACATAATTGGGCGTAATTTAGTGAGAAATCTTTCACTGAAATATTTTCCAGTTAAACATTCTTTCAAACTTTGATGTTATACTAAAGAAATAAAAGTTCTAGGCTGTAGAAGGTATTTTATAACCAATAAACATTCCAGCCTCTTAACAAGAGTATTATATTTCATATTTTTCAATTAAACCTAAATTATTCTAATAAGATCTCATTGGTTTATGAGCAGATATTTGGAGGGTCAAAGAGAACAAATTAATTACATAAATATGCCATGAAATAAATGTATCATTCAATAAAAAAAAAAATAAGTGAATCATTAAATTAATACTTTTATGACACTATTCTATCTGCATGGCAGATGTGTGCAGTTATTTTATATGTCGGCTTGACCAGTCAAACACTGAGAAAGCAGAGTGGTTCTTAAAGAGGCCCTGGCCTCTGATTGGCTGCAGACGAGATGATTTCCTAGTTTGTGCAGAAATTACTTGAATGGAATAATTGAAAGTATACAGAAACAAAATTAAATTAAGAAATTACTTTAAACAGTGTAATGGTTTTAAAGGTATACTTATTTCATGGTAACTTATTTATTTTACCTTTTCCTAAATAATTAGCATATCAAATAATTTAATGATGTTATATAAATTCTACATTTAATTATGTTTTATTTCATGGTACAGTCGCATTTATGATGTGTCCAATTTTGTCCCCTTTAACCCTCCTTACCAGAATGGCACTAAAATAAAACTTGCCATAATTCTAGGAATATCTTCTATCAGCGCCACCTACTGGTACGTTGGTTTTAAAAATGGACAAAGGTGGGAGAGCTGCCACAAGTTGATTTGTTCAGTTGGTACATTTAGCAGCCTGAGTTCTCAGCAGGCCTAGTTTAGATCCAAACTACTTCAGTTGTGAATGAAAATGGTGAGTGAACCTCCAAGTGTTTTTATTTTTTTAACTGGGGATTTAGTGTAGTTTTTCCACAGTTTAAAGGTGAAGAAAGAACCAGAGAAAACTGTTTACTGTATTTTCTTCATTTTTTCTTACATTTGAACACTGCCAACAGGAGAAAGGTGGGTTAATAGACATGTTAACTAACCCGTTACCAACGGTCACAAAACCATTTGGCCTTAACCCTTTATAGGTCAAGTTTCCATTTCTGTTTACTTACAAATGGAGTCCCCTCCGTCTCTCAGTGACGTCTAGAAGCACAACATCTATATCCATCCATTCAGCAAAGATGCTGCTGCATGGCTGTGCATCTTATTTTGGCCTTTGATCAATTAAATGAGCCTTTGAATGATATATTACCTACTATAAATTAAGTTGAAAAAAAGTAAACCAGTCAAGAAAAAAGGTAAAAAGTTAAAAAGTCAAGGAAAAGAGGAAGAAAAGATAAGTAAAAAGGAAAAAAAAAAGGAAAAAAGCACATTGAAAAGTTAAAAGGTAAAGTTAACAATTATATTTAGGTTTATAAACTAAAAACGTGGCAGTATCAGCATTAAAGCCTCTAAGGTTATGTTGTACCAAAAAAAGTGTTTCTTTCACTATCAGATTGTCATGAATTCCCTATAGAAGCACTTATTATTTTCTTAATATATTTGGGCAAGTTGGCGTTTCTTGTTATTACATTGACATTCATTTTTGCTATCAAAATGTTGCAAAGCTAATAAGGTCTTGTNAATTATATTTAGGTTTATAAACTAAAAACGTGGCAGTATCAGCATTAAAGCCTCTAAGGTTATGTTGTACCAAAAAAAGTGTTTCTTTCACTATCAGATTGTTTGTCATGAATTCCCTATAGAAGCACTTATTATTTTCTTAATATATTTGGGCAAGTTGGCGTTTCTTGTTATTACATTGACATTCATTTTTGCTATCAAAATGTTGCAAAGCTAATAAGGTCTTGTCCTGGATTCCAATAACACTATTGGCTTGAAATGTGGATTTTCATAGGATTTCACTGAGTGGCCTATAAAGGGTTATAGACGGTACCATGCTCCTGTAGCATCAGGGTCATTGTGTTATCACTTTAATAAATATTTCCAAGCAGAAAACTTAAAAAAAAAATTCCTTGAGTCCAATAACTTACAGCAGCAGGTGGAGGAGGGGGGAGTAGCAGGGACATGCAGAATAAAGATTATTTTAAAGAGAAAAAATGTGAAAATTAAAAGTTGAACCCAGACTTATCCTAGAAACAGTCCCCAGATCTTTCCTCTGGTGTTTCACGGTATCTCCAAACCAGTTCCGGTCACTTTCCAAAGGTGTGTGCCTGGAAACCTCCACTGTGAAGCTTTTTGTTACGCATCCTGAAAACTTTGACTCCTTTAGATGAGGTGGCGGCTCCACTCTAGTGTAATCCTGTGCTTCTGATCAAATCTGATGACTGTAGATCACTCATTATAAAACATCAGGATTCTACTTTACATGATACAAATGCTTTTAAATAAATTCAAAACACATCTGTCAGTTAAATTATATTTAATCCACTGATAACCCATGACAACAAAAAACAGATATAAAACAAACATTCTTCTTTACCGTAATAAACATCTTCAGTTTTAATCCTACATGTGTGTTTATTAATTGTTCCTAACAGTATGACTTCAACTCCCCTAAATACACAGCAAACGTACCGATAGGAAAGATCTGACCAGGGGAGAATGAGTAGTGTGTGATTCTATCCAGGCTGCAGAAACTTTTCAGTGCTGGTTTGACCTATAAACTTCAAGTAACCTTCACAAAGCTAAAACTGAGAATCGACCTACGACCCCGGTATCTGTCGGCTTCTCTGATTGGAACCGTTCATCAGGATGAACATCTGGCTTTTCTTTGGAGTTTTCAATCTAAGTTTTTAAATGTAAACACTTCAGTTTGCATAATAAGAATGTGAGACTGTGACTGCTAGAAATAACTCAACTGAGGAGGCAATTTTTATAATTTTTTCTGCATTATCCAGAAAGAGACGAAGCAGAGATGAACCCAAAGGTTGGGAATTTAATCACAGATAAATGCATGTAAGACTAGTAACCTCTGCATATATCAAACCTCTGCTCTACCTCTTCACCTCTATGGAGAACTGCAGAGCTACATTAATTAAAATGCTGTAGTGTTTCTTCAACAACAAAAAAACAACAAATTCTGCCAAAGACATTAGTGGTAAAATAAAATCCAGTGATCTTAGAGGAATGTTCCTATCAGGTCCAGAGGAAATTCCACCTTCATCAGCTACAAATTGTCCAAAGACTCAGTGAGTCTCCCTGTTTACTAATAATAAGTAGTGGTTTTCATGATTTACGCCCCAAACAAATTAATTTATGTCTAGAGTTGTTCTACCCTCAGCCTCTCTGTGAAGCCTGAGGTTTGCATGACATAAAAACTACCGGTATTTCTCATCAGTTTTTCAACTTACGATATCCTGAGATTTCTTCTGGAATGTTTTTACATGTAGAGTTTGTAAACACCTCTACGGTGAGCCTAGCATCATAGATGTGCTAGATGTGCGTATTGATCCATATTCTGATGATATGTCAGCTGTAATAAAGAAAAGAAACAAAAAAAGATTTTCCGATTTAAAAAACCTCCATGTTTTAAAAGCAACACCTTTCATCATATGGAAATCACTGCAATAGTTCACTCCTTTAACTTCATTCTTAGAAACTTTTTTATGTATAAAGCCCAAAATCAAAGTTTCTTCAAATATAACTGAGAGTTTGCTTTAAAGTTGATAAAAATCTACTTCATAAATAGTTTTTTTTTAATATATACATCCTTAGACAAAACGTATTCCATAATTAGGATTTTTCTGGTTTGTGTAAAGAATGAAAAGTCATCAGACATCAGATCCTTTTTTAAAAGTTAAGTAGTGTTTAAAATCTTAAGTAATTTCTGTTAAAACTGACTTTTACAGATCAGAATAAAAACTACAAAAAGAAATGAAGACATACTTCAACTCGTTTTAAAGATTTTGTTGTGGAAAGATTCTTTAAGAATATAAAAGTTTGCAATATTAAAAGTCTGTAAATTCGTATGCTACGTTCACACCGCACGCGACTGAAGCAGCAGATGGAGCAGGTTTACATGCAAAGGCAATGGTTGACGCACATCAAGGCGCATGAAAAGGTAATGCAGCGCGTTTTGAGCAGCAGGAGCAGCGAGTCTTGATTCATCTGAGCAGCTGAGGCATGTGATGCGCTTCACCAGCAGCAGCTGCTGGAAAAATTTTACTTTTGCTGCTCGACGCACGATAAGAACCAATCAGGGAAGCTGATCTGGGAGCTGGAAGGGAAACAGACAGCGCTGCTCCTGCAGATCGCTATTACCATGACTCTGAAACAGTTTAATAACGTCTAAATTAACTTATAAAAGTCTAAACCTGCCGGCAAAATCTGTTTTATTATTCTGGTGCCTGCAGTTTGTACCACATACCTTAGAAACACTACCCCCCAGATTCCACATACTCTGTAATACTTGTCTGTCAGGTTAATCAATGAGAACAGTTCCACATCCTCCGCTACTCTTCCGCACATCAAAATACAGAGCAGAGATATATTTAACTGCTCTAGTCCGGCTAGGTCAAGATCCGGAATTATAATCACACCAAACAGGAAAAAGAACGGCGAGAAGATTTGATTTATCAAAATAAAATATAGTAACAATGGATTGGTAACTACAAATTAGAGCATAATTCTTATAAATTTCCAAAAAGTTAAGTTTAATTACATTAATGGATATAAACTGCTGTTACCTCAACATACAAGGAAGCAGATTTCTCATCTAAATCAAAATATTTATTTTGATTTAGATGATAACAGACATAGGCCATAAAAAACTATTCTGTATAATCCTTGTTATCCCTGTTACAAAAATCCACAACAAAAAGAAATAATTTGGGCAGAAACTGCACACATATGGATGCTGATGTGGATTTTTTAAATAAGTCATATTAAATTCATCGTTCATTTCCACGTTTTGCTCCTATGAATTTAATAATATTATAGCACATGCTCTCCTCGAGATGAGAGGAAGTCGGAGCAGAGCAAGACGGGAATAACAGCGGAGCCTGTAGGCTTTGCTTTGAACAGGAGACCTGGAGCGCAGCAGGGCGGAGCGAAGGATGTGACATCTGCTTCCAGACCACACTAACAGTAGAGGAAACCTCCCAGCTGCTGCTGGGAATTCCCAGTGATGGCGCACCGCCGGTATGTGGGGATCTGAGCGTCAGCAAAATAATAATTCAAGGCAGGATCGTCATCTTGATGAACTGACTGCACAGACGGTGTTTTGAGGTGAACTTTCTCGCCTAAAAACATATTAAAACTACTTTTTACCTACTTATAACAGCAAATATAGCAAAGCTGCTCTCTGCCATTGAACACAGAAGCAGCAGATGCACCTGGCAGACTTTACTGGACGCACTTAAGGAGCATCATGGATGCTCTGGAGGTGCGTCTGACCTTAATGTGTACAAGCATCAAAAATGAAGAAGCAGATGCTTTTTTTTTGCTACCAAAAGTGCATCCGGTGTGAACGTATTATCAGACACCTGTTGTTTAGAGTAAGTAATGCAATCAGCATAAGGTAGGTTTAAATAAATGGTTTAAATTGCAGTCTGCTGCATCCAGTGTCTTAAAGCTGGTTGATGATCCTCACAGTTGGGTTTGTGTTGCTTTGTTTCAGCCATTAAACTTGTTGAATGTCGCACCTTTGTTCTTTTTTCTAGGCTGCACCTCAAAAAAATGAAATTCTAGAGCTGTTTTAAACTATTTCTTTTTGTATACACTTGTGTATGCAAAATGACAAAATAAATCTAAGTCTAAGTCTTTAAAAGGAAAGTTTTAAAATCTATCGGTAGCTCCTATGCTCCACATCACACCATGAGCCTGCAGGCCAGTCCGGTTCTGGTTCAGCCTTAGTCCAGTGTTGCAGCACCCTAAAGTGTGGCTATAAAATCTATTTTCATGTTTTCATCATCAAACCCACTACAAATATCTGTTAAATGAGTCAAAGCTAAACCGGCAAATGTGCTTCTTTATCGGCTGTTTTAGAACAACCTTCTCAGTTCTTCTTTTGTAGACTCGTCGTGGGGATTCCTCTCGATGATAAATCAGAAGAGCGTTTTTTTACCTCTTTCAAGTTTTAAAAAGATCCCTTCAGTTTTTCTTGAATATAAATGAATTGTGCGTCATTTTTGTGTTAGCTGGTCCCACCCAGTGAGCCTCTTCTGGTCAGACTCTGCGTGCTGCAGCTCAAGCCTCGACTGTCGGTCAGCTGAGTTGACTGAGGAGCAAAAAACACAGCTGTTAACATGACAACATGATTTAAATGCAAAGAACTAATGTTGATGCCTCGTTAGGAAGTCAGCAGTTGTACTGATCTCAGTCTGGTTGTTTAGAGAGAAATGCTCATGCAGTCAAGATAAGGTAATGTCTTTAGTTTTCTTTGTAAGGATTAGATGATTGGATGAATTTTATTTTAGTAAAAAGTATTTTTATATTTTTTTTTCATAAAAGTAAAAAACAAAACAAGCCACTGGACTTTGTTTTCCAAGTTTGAAGACATTTCGCTTCACATCCAAGAAACTTTTTCAATTCAAAATGTCAGAATTAGCATTGAGTTCCAAGCGTTAAAAAGCTAATTGAACGGGAAGAACAGGTCCGCCGCTTAGGAATGGGGAGTCGTTGAGATCTTTGTTAGCCTTAAATACACAATACTGGTCTATGCTTCTGAAAGGGGGAGTCGTTAGGGGCATTGTTGGCCTGGTTGACCAGGCGAGGCGTCTTGGTTCCCTGCATGGCGATGAGGATAATGATAGCAGGAAGGAATCAACTGTAGGTTTTTGAGAGCTGAAATCTGAGCCCACCCCCTCTGTTTAAGGTTTTCTCTCTCTTAACATCAATGATTTCTTTCACACCCCTTTTAAAACACCTGCCCTCTCTGTCCAAAATGTGAACATTCTGGTCATCAAAAGAATGTCCTTTGTCTATAATTGTTTTTTAACTTTTTTGGAATGACTATGACCTGGATGACTGTGAATTTTTACCAGTCTCTTTATTTGCAATAATGTGCAGGTATGCTTTATAAATGTTTAAATCATTATAATCAGCCGTACATCTCTATTTAAAAATATATAATTTTATAGTTTTTATGTTTTTGCTCTGAGTAACTGCATGCTTTTATTTGCCTGTCACTCAGACACCCACTGACTCCCCCACTGTGTAAACAGTAGATTTATTTTGTGCAAAACATGTTTTGACAATGCATACTGTAGTTTGCAGCAACAGCACAAAGTCACAGAGTTTCTGAGACAGTTAAAGGTTGCTCTCTTAATTGGGTCATGTTCTCAGTCATTAGCCATTAGCCTGACTCCTCCAGGAGGAATACTTCCTGATTCTCCAAACTGAGATCACTTTGAGTGCCGCCTACTGCATCTACGACAGGAAAGACTCTGATTTTTTTAATTAAGGGAAGTAAGTAGAACCCAGGTGTTGATAATTAAATGGACTTAATCTTTAACTGGTTATTATGAAGAATTAAAACCTTGAGAAAAGGGTTAGGGCTCTTAAATGCATGTTTGTGTGTGTCAAAACAATGGAAGGAAAGGAAGAAAACAGCAATAGCTGCGCATCAAGGGTTAAAGGACATTTTCAAACAATGCAACCACATAATGTCCATATAAATTAGCCTCTCTTGCCGGCGACCCGTTTTAAAGCGTTTACAACAAAAAATTTAGAATACAGGAAAATTACACTGGTAAAATGTTTACCAATAAAGACATGTTAGACATCGTTGGAAAGCTTAGATGCTCCACAATTTAACCACTACAATCATTTGATGAACACAGGGAGCACCAAAGCACAATTAACACAGATATTCCAGCATGTTAAAATGTAAACATGAAAAGCAGCCACAACAAGCAAGCATGTCTTTATTACTGCTGTTCAAAAAACACCTATTATTTTCGACAATTAAAAAAACAACTTTGAGTCTTATTTGAACTGATGCAGCTTGAGCTGTGTTTTACTCACCAAATTTTCATGTACGTATATATTCAGAAACTAGAAGGTTTTAGTTTTTAAATAATGTATCACACATGTAATTTGGGCTTACAGCTCCTAGGTTATTTGTTTTTCCATTTGGGTATGCAAAATAGGTGAGAATTTTCTGACACTACAGGCCTCACCAAGTATTTCAAAGCTCATAAAATAACATCTAGAAAAGAGACTCAACCAATATGGGATTATTTGTAAGGAGAAAGGATCTTCTCTCTCATGGAACATGAAACTCACAATGGAAAATCTCTGCTCTAGAATAATAAACGCCTTCTAAATGTAATAAAGTGAAAGACTTTTTTAAAGAGGGATGGTGAAAGTTCCTTGAGCAGAAGTTTACAAGCGACTCAAATCTGGGGTGTATTTGCATTTTTAATATAATCTGTAACTGAAAAAAATAAAAAATAGAATATTTTTGTCTGAATAAGTGAAATAATCACCTGGGTTCCATCCAGATTTTCTCTGGTTCCAACATTCAACACGTTTAGGGAGTTCGCTCTCTTCATCCTGCAAAGATAAGAAAACTGCTGCTGAAATGGGACATTTACGTGGCAGAAGAATTCAACCACCCTGACAGGAAACGAACAAACTTGTTTTCTCGTAAACAAGTCATTTCAGGTCAAATTACCCAGCATTCCTCGGGGTCATCTCCTCAACTCCGACTCCTTTAAGTTTGCGCACCAGTTTCTCGCTACTCCGACGTATCGACTCCCTGAGTTTGGTGAAGGAGCTGCTGCGCTTCAGTCCTTCTGATGTGGAGCCACTTTCCTCCACACTGGACCAGCGAGGACGACTGTCACCTGGAGGACAGACAGGGGACACCCACTGACTCATCTCTGTCCTGCAGAACTTCACCACACAGGTGATTAAAGGTGCTGTAGGAGATCTTGGAAAAACGCTTTCAGCAAGCTATGTTTTTGAAAATACACAACCATGCCTCTCCCTTCAGACTGCGTCTAGTGCTGCAGGAGCAGCGCTGATGATGCAGAGTGCTATGATCACAGCTCTGAAACAGTTTATTAACGCCTAAATTAACTTAATAAGCCAAAATCTGCTGGAAAAACGCTTGTTTTTATTATCCTGGTGTCTACACTTTGGATTACGTACATGGAAAATGCCTTCCAGAGGCTGCTGTTGAATGGGATTCCTAGTGACAGTGCACCGCAGGTGTACGGGGGTCTGGGCAGCTCCAACAGAAATAATATTTGAAGGCAGGATGGTAATCTGGATGAACTGACTGCACAGAACATGTTTTCAGGTTCTTTTTCACTTCAAAATAGATTCAAGCTACTTTTCACCCACTGATCACAGCAAATATAGCTGCCATTGTAACAGGCAAAGAAAGGATAGGGTAGCTCCGCCCAACGCGCATCAGACCCACTTTTTCCACCACGCAGCCCAGAGCAGCAACCAGGATTTTGGTCGACTACAGTGCAGCACGTAGTCAAAACAGGGAGCCAGCGGGGGAGGGAGCGACCGAACCCGACCCGGTGACGGTAGCCTGGACACCTGCGTCCCCGTGCATCCCCCCACCTGCCTTATCGGTCCCCAGCTCCCCTCCTCCGGCTGAGGACAGGCGGCTCATGGCTCTCGGCTGAGGTCCGGTCCAGTCAGCGGCCCAAGAGTCAACACTTCTCCCCCGGCCAGAAAAAAAAGTGTCCTTCTTTTCAGGAACCCAAATCTGGTCACCCTAGCAAAGATGCTTCAGCCGCGCATCAGAACTAAACTTGTACAAGCATAAAAAATGAAGCAGCCTGGTCGTTTTTGCTGCTCCTGCTTCTTTAGGTGTGAATGTAGCATAGCAGTTGCTAGTTTACCAGCCATGGCGTCCTGCAGGAGCATTGGGGGGTCGATTCGTTCATGTGTCAGGGTACGCGCACAGGGCAGAGGGACAAGCAGATTATTTACGTGTCAGGGACCAATTGTGATTGGTTGGTGTTTTTCATTGATTTTTTACTGAAGTGGGGACCATTTATTTTAATTTCACTTCCAGACCTTCTATTTCACTGCTTGCTAAAGGGCCTAAGGAAATCTTTAAGCCACATGGTAAAAAATGCGTTACAGATCGTTAAAGATCTCCTTCTGCACCTTTAACATGGATTTGCCTTTTTAATTTTCATTAAATGCATTAAACATCAATTATTGCGAGCGAAATGTTCGAAAAAAATCCTCCTCTTTTTTTAGAAGAGGATTTTGGCCCCTTATTGCTAAATCTTAAGACATCTGCAACAACATATGCAGTAAAAAAAACAAAAAAAACAACAAAATTTACCTTCCACAGATCCAAACTCTTTTTCATGAGCTCTGGTCAGAATTTCTTTGTAGAGAGCTTCAGCTTGTCTGTATTTTCCCTGCTTCAGATAACATGAGGCCTGAGAAGGAAAACAAGCAATAAAAGTCCATCACCTGTGCTTCTGGTTATCCTCCGACTGGATCAGCAGAGTTTAAACACGTGATGTTACAATAGAAAGAATCACCACATGAACCCGTTTCCTTCTCGTCTCACCAGGTTGTTCTTGGTCTTTGCCACGTTGGCGTCGTCTGGTCCCAGTTTGCTCTGATAGATGTGCAGAGCGCGTTCGTAGTACTGCTCCACTTCCTGGTACTTCCCCTGATTCTGACACAGCAGGGCCAAGTTGTTCAGCTGCTTGGCCACGTCGGGGTGGTCTGTACCCAGAACCTGAGCATTGGTAAACAGAAAAAGGTTATTTCTAAAACCATTACTTTATCTCCAAGAAGAACATTAAAACACAAGTAACTAAAGGTGTGCTGATGTTTGCCTCCACTTGAGAGAAGTTATATTTCGATAATTATTTGGGGCTTTTTATCATTTAAATAAATGGTTCTTTTTTCAGAAGCCTTGATGCACAGGTTGGATATGCAGCTGGGATTCAAACCCAGGATTTTATTATTTATTGCAAAATTACAGAGCAACAAACTGCTCTACCACAGATCCCATAGAAACAATATTACAGTAAATTATTTAGCCCAAACTAGATAACTTTTTTATATTATGGAAGCGAATTGTTACCATATTTCAAATAAAAAAGCCTTTCCAGAAATGCTTTTTCATTTTATGAATGTGGCTGCATTGTTTGACTCATAAATGAAATTAGTAATCAATAATCCTGTTTGCATTTTCATTTTCTTCTTCAACACTGCTCATCCTTTTACTTAATTAAAATGAAAAGGAAAAAGACACTTGAGGTTTGTTTTTCAAAATGTACCCCAGCAAATACATACCAAAATTAAATTTGAAATGTAAAATTTGAAAATGAAAAAGCCTTTCCAGAAATGCTTTTTCATTTTATGAATGTGGCTGCATTACTTGACTCATAAATTAAATTAGTAATCAATCATCCTATTTGCACTTGCATTTATATAGTAAAATATTTATATATATAGTCAAACAATGCAGTCACATTCTCAAAATGAAAAAGCATTTCTGGAAATGCCTTTTGAAATATGGTAACAATTCGCTTCCATAATATATCAGAATAGAACAGGGGTCTGCCACCTGCAGCTTTGGAGCAACACATGCTGTGGCTCTTGATCACTTCTGCTAAAAATTATATTGGAGAGCAGAGTGCTCTTTAAACATCTACCAAGAATTTCTACAACACAAAAATGCTATTGTTGAAAGAATCAGTCTTAATGTTTCTTTTGTCGTTACAATATTCAGATTGTCATCTTTCTCCACTAATGTAAAATGTTTGTTTTTTTTGCTTCTCAATACCTTAAAGGGATAAAAATGTGTTTCGTTTAACCATAAATAAAATCTTATTTTATTAACTTTGATCTTTTCTCAAAGGTCATGTACGTCTAGTAGTAGTAATTAGTAGTAAGGGCAAATACAGCTTAGCCTTTTGAAGAATGTGATACATAAGAAGTCTGATGCTCGTACCTTCTCTCTGATCTCCAGAGCTCTTTTACAAAGTGGCTCAGCCTCTTTGTATTTTCCTCTTTTACCATAAAGCACAGCCAGGTTGTTAAGTGTCGCTGCCACCTGAATAAACGACAAAAACAACAAGAATAAACACCTTTTATATTGCTGTGCTCCAGCCCAAAATAACTTGATGGTAAGAATAAAATATTAAACACAGAGATCTATTCTGTTACGCTGCAGAACAGTTCAGTCTGTTCTCCTGATATGTTAAAGGCTCATCTCTTACAGCCGGATGGTCCATCCCGAGTGTTTTCTCCCTGATCGCCAACGCATCGTTCAACAGGTTAGCCGCCTCCTTGTACTTGTTCTGATCTCTGCATTTAAAACAAATATGTCAACAAAATGATAATTTAAACTAAACTGAACATTGATATCTTTTTTAAAGTATTCTACATCCATTTTTTTATTTATTTATTTATTTTTTTCAGAAATTGGACATAGTAACCGGACTCCTTCATGAAAATGAAACTATTAAATTATTTATTTTTGCTTTAAAAAGGCTGAGAGGTAAGCTTAGCCTCTGTTACCTCACCTATACACCAGAGCCAGTATGTTGAGCATAGTTGCTACGTCTGGGTGGGTGTGGCCTGAGGACTTCTCCAGGTCTTCCAAAGCCTGTTAGGAAATGATCATCAGATCTGCTGCTGTTTTGGTCAGAAACAGGCTTTGACCAAAGATCAGGCGCCCATATCCCACCTGTTTGCAGAGCGGCACGGCGACCTCATACCGACCCTGAGATGCGTACTGGATGACCAGGTTGTGGAGCGTCCGAAGGCGGGCGGGGATCTCGTAGCCACCCTGCTGTGCTGCAGCCGCCGCGCTGCTGTGGTGAGGCTGCGAGACTGGAATTAAAAAAAGTCAAGGTGGTAGAAGTCAGTTTATGTAGTTACATCAAATCTGGTCTCTGATAAATTCTTAGTTTCTTAATTTAAACAGGAAAAAGGAATTTAATTTGTCTCCCTGGTTGTTGCCATAAATATGTAAATATTGCGAAAAAGATTCTGAAACTGGATCCTGCAGGGAATCCGGAGAAAGAAAAAAGATGAGCTTTCCAGATAATCAAGAGGTTCTGCTATAAAGAGGACATCTGATTTCTTCTTGCCTTATTATGTAATAGTTCAACTTCTCCATTGTTTATGCTAAAAGTTTATTATATGCACATTATAAAATCAATGAGCTAACAGTAATCTACAAGTTTAGCATTTTACTCTACAGAAATCTGGACAGAATATAAAGATTTTTTTTCCACATTTCATGAGGAAAATAAAAAAATTCTCCAAACTTCAAATGAAAAGTTCAAACATTGTCAGCTGCAAATAGTCAGCAGACACCATTAATCAATTTCAAAGCAAATCTAATTCTGAATAACAAACATTAAATAAATATTTTAATCAACATCCTTTAATGGAGTTTGATTTATTTCTTCAAGGTTTTTAACATTTTCAAACAACAAAGACAGAAAGAACTGTTTTTTACTGACATGGATTCCTTCTGTATCTTTGAGAAAAGGATCTGCATTGTACATTATTTAACCGCCCAACCGAATTTAAAATTGTCTTACTCTGGGACTGTTCCTCATCCTCTGCAGGAAATAAATCATCCAGAGACTCCTTGTTGGAGGAAGTTTCTTTTTCATCCTGAAAGAAGAAAACAGATGCATTTATAACCGCTGTAAAGACTATGGACGTTTCAGGGCTTTTGCACGGTGCTTTACTTTTCTACACAATCTTTCCTTGGTGTTTCTGATGCTTCAAATCTTGGACTTTAAAACACTATTAACAATATAAAGTCTTGATTCAATCAAATCAATCCTGCTTTTCCCTTATAGAGGCACCAGAGCAGCCAAGACAGGAGTGACACGTTCACCTGAGGGGAAACTTATGCTGCTCTGTCTGCCTAACTAATAAGACGTTTGTGACGAAGCAGAAATAACAGCTCTCCCAGTTAATGACACGTCAGTGAAGAACATCCAACACTCAATTTACCCAAAATGTGATTACACCAGCTTTTGCAAATGCTGGTAACATTCTACAAAGTTTCACTCATTTCTATTGCATTTGTGCTTTTAGATCTATTGTTTCCAGAACATTCACACAGTGATCTGCAGGCAGGTTCTCCTCACCAGAGGAGGCTCGTCCTGGTCGTATCTGCGTATGGAGGACATGAACTGCAGGTGTTTGTTCTGCTCCTCCAGGGTCACCACCTCCTGCTCCTTGTCCTGAAGCCGCTGCTGAGCGCTGGCCAGCTCGTCCCTCAGCCACTGGTTCTCCTGAACAAGACGACGTACCTGACCAAATGAAAAGGAGGAGGTGTAAAGGGACAAAAAAAAAAAAAAAAGAAGAAATTTAGGAATCTGACAGTAGGAGTGCAGGACAGGTTAGAATAAGTTTACGTTCAAGAGATTTAATAGATTGAGATGGAATTAATAGATCTCAGGTTTTAGACAGAATCCAATCAAATGCTGCAGATTTCTGCACCAACAGACAGGCAGGAGGTTATAGTCAGGAATGGAATGTTCCTGCTGAATCCTACTTGAGCTCGTAGCTTTTGCTTCTCTGCCTCCAGCGAACCGAGATGAGCCGACAGCGCCATCATCACCTGCAAAAAATATTAATAATGATGATAAAAAATGTATACAAAAAAATAAAGTGATGGGCAACTCGGCAGGTGTTTGTGGAATAAAAAAAAAAATTGAAGGCTTCACTGAGGATGAACAAAAGGCTTGATTTCAGACTCTAAAGGGCATCTTTAAAAAAGAGAATTAGAGAGAAAGGGAGGTTAGGGTAAAATTCCCAAAATGCTTTTAGGCCAGTAAAAATGCTCCTTTTATGGCCACGGAAAAGTACCCCGTGGCAAAGAATTATTTTATTTTTTATTGCATCCTACATTTTCCATAGACAACAGTTGAACCACACCAGTTTAGAAAGAATGCATCAAAGATATTTTTCATACGTCCTCCAACACCTTTTTTAAGTAGTGTGCAGAATTATTAGGCAATTGAGTATTTCAACCATACCATCCTTTTCATACATGCTGTCCTGCTCCAAGCTGTTTAGGCTTGAAAGCTGACTACCATTTAAGTACCTTAAATCCTCTAATATAGGCCGGGGCCTTTATTTCACTCAGGTACATCTTGGTCCACGCCATTAATTGAAGGAAGGCAGAATTAGAGGCAGGCCTCTGTTTTTATTTGCTCAAAACAGACTACCAGTGGAATGAAAAAAAAAGAGATTTTGTGTCTCTTTGAACCTATAAAATACCATAACGGTATACAGAACATTATTCAGATATCTTCCAGCAGCTGCAATTTTTCTGCTCGGCAATATGAAAAAAAAAAAAAAAAGACACAGAATGGAATCTTGGCCAAACTGACTTGCGAAACAAAGTTTTAAAAAAAATTCATGGAAACTGTTCTGACATCACAGCGAAATTTTATTTGAGGCAGGCTAAGTGGAAGTAGGCTACCAGTATCATATATTTCAAGGTAAATTCAGAACAAGAAAGGCCAGTGAAATTCTGTCATTTTAACACTGCCTGGTTACGACCAGACCTACCAGTATTCACATCTGTCTTTCAGATCAGAACGATTGTGTGGCTGGTTATCCTCCTGCGGTGTTGCAGTGAGCTTGACGCAGACATTTTTGATTTATGCTCAATATTGAAGCGTGATCTGCGCTATACGCTGTGGGTCTAGATACAGCCAAGGCGATGAGGAAGTGGGGGCGAGTAGTCCGACAACGGAGGGACATGACGGCGTAAAAGAGCGGAGATCCAGGTGTAAAAAGGGTTGCAGCGTTGTCGCGCACCTCGCTCTTTTAGCTGGTCAAACTTCACAAGTTGTTTTCTATAATTTCGGTCATAAAAACAAAACAAGCCAGCCTCCTATCTGTGGCACTGTCTGCGCTAAGGATGGGACTTCCCATGCTAATCATCGCACAATCAAGCGGTTCATGGCAAACAGCCAACAAGGGTGCAATAAGTGTGTTGAAAAAAGAAGACGCAAAATAACTCCCCATGAATTGAGAAGGATCAAGCGTAAAGCTGCCAGGAAGCCATTAGCCACCAGTTGTGCCATATTTCAGAGCTGCAACATGTCTGGAGTGCCGAGAAGCACAAGGTGCTCAATACTCAGGGACCTGGCCAAGGTAAAGAAAGCCGGAAAAAGGCCATCTTTGAAAAAGTCACACTAGACAAAATATCAAGTTTGGGCCAAGAAATATCTGAAGACTGGTTTCTCCAAGGTGTTTTGGTCTGATGAAATGAGAGTGAGTCTTGATGGGCCAGATGGATGGGCACCAGGCTGGATCAGTAAAGGGCAGCAAGTTCCTTATGGACTCAGACGCCAGCAAGGTGGAGGTGGGGTACTGAATCAGTACCCCACCTCCACCTTGCTGGCGTCATATCAGTACTATTGATATGGGCTGGGATCATCAAAGATGAGCTTGTGGGACATTTTCGGGTTGAAGATGGAGTCAAGATCAACTCCCAGACCTACTGCCAGTTTCTGGAAGACATCTTCAAACAGTGGTATAAGAAGCCGCCATCATTCAAGAAAAACATGATATATTTATGCAGGACAATGATCCGTCACACGCATCAAAATACACCACAGCTTGGCTGGCCAGAAAACGTCTAAAAGGAGAAAAAATAATGACATGGTCCCCTTGGTCACCTGATCTGAACCCCATGGAGAACCTGTGGTCCTTCATGAAATGTGAAATCTACAGGGAGGGAAAAAGAGTCCACCTCTCTGAACAGTGTCTGGGAGGCTGTGGTGGCTGCTGCACGCAATGTGGATCACAAACAGATCAAGACACTGACAGAATCTATGGATGGAAGACTTTTGAGCATCATGGTGAAGAAAGGCAGCTATATTGGTTACTGATTTGTTCTTCTTTTATTGTCACAAATGTTTATTTCTGAATTTTGAGCTGTTGGTTACTGGTGATAATAAACAAGTGGGATGGGTATATATTAGTTTTTTATTACGTTGCCTAATAATTCTGCACATTAATATGTACCTGCACACACAGACATCCACATAAAATGGCCAAATCTAAAAAAAACAAAAAACACATCAACTTCCAAAAATATGAAACTTTGATATTAAGGAGTCTTTTGGGTTGAATGAGAACACAATTGTGGGCCAATAATAAAAATAATCCTCAAAAATACAACTTGCCTAATAATTCTGCACACAGTGTAATTCATTTTTGAAAAAAAAAAACAACAAATTCCTAAATTCTGTAAAACATTCATCTCATTTTAAAAGAATGTTTTCTAATGGGCTCTATTCACAACTCCACCTCTTCCTGAACTAAAGGCCGCTCTTTTTTTCCTGGTGTTATTATTGGATCAACTGATTAATCCAGATGTGTCTGGGCATGGTTACTGAGGTCACGGACACCTGGATTAATCAGTTCATCCAATAGAAAAAGACAGGAAACTAAAGAGCTGCCTAAGTTCAGGAAGTAGTGGAGTTCTACATATAGCCCATTGGAGAACTAAAGAAAGCAGCAGAATGTGTTGCAGGTTTGACGTACTTGCGCCTCGCTCAGACCCAACTCAATCCTCTCCAGCGACTTTCGGATGATGCTAGTCTTCTCCAGCTCAACGCAGCCGCTCTCAGACTCCAGCTTGCTCTCCATCGCACCCTGCAGGTTCTCCAGCAGGCTGCGGTTCTCTCCTCTCAGAGCTTCCAGTCCTGCTATCACCTGCTGGGTGCTGCTAAGGATGTCCTCTGCTGACAGCATGATTTCTGTGTTTTTCTGTTGCTGCTGTACCTGCGATGGACCTTAGAACAGCAGGAAGAACAAGGAAGGGATTATAACAGAGCAGAGAGGGGAACCAAGCAGAGGAGGAGGGTGCTCTCTGCTCCACTGTGCGTTTGTGCACTGAAAATTCACAAAAGGGAAGATATACTGAGCTACGGTTCATGGTTAAACGCAACTTCTGCTTTATGCAGCACGGAAATAAAAAGCCTTATCCTTCACCTGAATTAATGAAAAATAAAAAAATCCTTTCTTGTAATAAACTTTTATGCCAGTTTAGCTTTTTAATAGCAGTAAATGAGAAAGAAAACAACAAAATTACAAAAAAATCGGATTGTATTTTTAGTTATTTGTCCTAAAAGATATGGAAAGCTTTGCTAAATACAAAAAAAAGAACATCAGAGAACTTAATTTTGCATACATTCATTTAAAAACAGCCCAAATAAAACATGGTTGAGGATATAGAATGTGTTATTTATCACCCAGTAATAATTATCAAGTCTAATTTAGGCCTTTTTATGTTCCTTTTTGAAGAACTTAATACCGTAGTTAGGTTAGGTTGGGCTAATTCTGTAGTGATCCTGCTATAGGCTTAAGTTGCTGGAAGACAAAGACTACTTTTCCTCACTTCAGCTGCCATTCTACAATTCTGAATTGTTAGTACAACTTCTAGCTTTTTCTCTACATAGTAGTTTAATCTGGCCAGGTTCTGTTCAACTGGGACACCGTCCTGTAGGGAGCCATCAGCCAGGCTGCTGCAGTCAACAAGATTAATTACAGATCAAACAGCTGGGCTTGTTTTACAGTGTTTAGTCACATCTCTCTCCTAGACATGGACTAAGCGTTCATTATGACTTACAATATGACTCTCTTTGTCCTTCTGACCTGAAAACTGGCTAACAGCTCACACGCGTAACTGTTTCTTTCCCAAACAAACCCACATATGGAGCTTTTTCACTTTTAATGATAGAAAAAGTATTTATGGATCAGTTCTTCTATATTTCAAACATAGAACCGCGGGCAATGATATGACCGAAACTGATATCGTAATATATTTCTTAACTTTGGTCGATACACTATGATATTGATTAAATGGACCATTATATCAGACATTTTCTTGTATCGTATAGGCATGCATTTGCCAATTCATCGGTACATTAAGCATCCATGTCTTGTGATCATGTGAAGCACACACATTTCCACTCCCTCCATTTGCTATCCTTTGTTAAAGTTTGTTTTATCTGTAAATAAAGGCTTCTTTGTTTACATTAAGAGCTGTGTGACATTTGTTATCAGTGTGTCATTTTTATTATGTATACGGAGGAAGGAAAAGCAGTACCGGCTTCAAGTATCGACTCAAACCTATCGGCAGAACATATCAGGGATCAGTTAATAAACCAACTTTAAGACGGGGGTCTTCTGTTCCCCTGTAAAGGGGTTGGGGTTGCGATAATAGAGGAAAGGAATCAACTCAGTTGCTGCATTGTATGTTTTTTAAAAGCTGAAATCTGAGTCCACCTCCCTCTGTTGGGGCGGACCTGTCATTCCGTTTCAATTTGCATGTTTCTAAAGGCTTTGTCAGGCTACTGTATAGGAGCATTGAACTCAACGCCATTTCTGACATTTTGAATTGAAAAAGCTTCCTGGATGGGAAGCAAAAAGTCTTGAAACTTGGAAACAAAGTCCAGTGGATTGTTTTTTAACTGTTTTGGAAAGTGTTGCACCGATACCAGTATCAGGCGGGGCCCCGATCCAGCTCTAAAATGGTGGTAACGGTATCTGCGAGTACCAACAAATACGGCACCGATACCATTTTGAGAGCCAAAAGTTTATTCAACTATTGTCACACATTCCAGGTAGGCAACAGAAAATTCTACTGGACTTACTTTGTATTAGTCTTTAGCAGGAAGAGATTTAAGCCCAACTGCCACAGACCGCCCCTCTGGGTCCCTGAGCAAAGACCCTTAACCCCACACTGCTCCCCAGGTGCCACACAATGGCAGCCCACTGCTCCCCAAGGGGATGGGTTAAATGCAGAGAGTTTATTTCATTGCTCTGTACTTGTGACAGTGTAATAACAATAAAAAGCTGGGAAAAAAAAGAAACAAAAACTTAGAAATTGTAGTTTTAAAGACATTTATATATATTTTATCCCTCAATTGAACAGTAACATTTTAAGTCATTTGGACTTAAAGAGCCTCCTCATAGCTGTCAGTAGCTTACTGACCAACAGAAAGCAAGGAGACTATTAAATGGACATCTGGAAAATATTCTGAATGGACTGTTTCTGTCTTTTTAACTGGTTTATAACGCCTGACTTTATAACTACCAGCATAAGCTATTGCACGGTAGGTTTGCTAAACCAGTGATGGTCAAAGCCTGAGGCAGTTTAACAACTGTTTATGT